GAAGTATTATCTTGATACATTCCTGTTTTGAGAAGGCAAACAGGTCCTTTTCTGGTCCGTTTTACCTGTTGATCTCAGGAAATATTTTTCATGACACTTCAGTTAAATGTGTGGAGAATATAGTATAGTACTATCAGACTAGGGTGTTTGGACCCCAAGTTATACCACAGGCAGCCTAGTAAAGGGTAACTTCAGCAATCCCTAAAAGGATGGTATAAGTACTAGTGCTCTCAGAAGAGGAAGTGAAGAATAATATATGTCAGTTATTTAGGAATACATGATTACATCACTGTGAGTCTTCTGTCCAGTGACGCATATCATAACCCCTGGGTGTTTTGTGAATTCCTGTGGCAAAAAACAAAACAAAATTAAAAAAAAACCCCTGCATTCTCCAATGACTAGTTAAGCTGGTAGTCCTCTTACAACAGCCTTAAGGTTGGTCAGTACCAACCTAAAGCTTTTCAGCCTCTTGCAAGTGGTTAGAATTTGGGATCTACTGGCATCTTTTTAACAACCCTGCTTCACAAACTACATAGCATGATCCAGCATTGAGGTAGAACTTTGATAGAGGAAAAAGCAACATGTGTTCAGTTTGTTTTAGCAGTTCACTTCAACAAACATTTATAAGCAACTACAGTATGCTAGACACTGTAGTAGGCAATGGGTATCAAATTAAAAAATGGTGGTACTAGGGTCACATTACTTAAAAAAAAAGACCAGTACTCTCCACCCTGGAGAGCTTATTACTCTCTTGGGAGATACAAGTAAACACAAGATAATTTTAAGAGGGAGATCACTAACAACATAGAGAATCAACAGATGCTTCTCTTATGAGGTAGCCCCTGAATTAAGCCTTGAAATAAGGTTAGGATTCTAAGAGATGAGTATGAGGGGGTATATTCTGTTGATGGGAGATCAGTCAGTCAGCAAATACTGTGTTATGGGGCAATGCGTGCTGCTAGAGAAAGTCATAACTGAAATAGTGCCTGCTCTTAAGGAGATTACATTCTGAGTAAAACATGGAGGTACAAGAGATGAAATATCAAATTGATAGGCTACTTTGGCTGGAACTTAAGAGTATGCCAAGGTGGGGAATATGCAGTAAGTATAGAACAATAAACTGGAGCCAGACTGTGAAGGGCTTTTGTGCTGGCAGTTAGTCAGTCAGCAAACTTTTATTAAATGCTTACTCTGCCAGGCACTGTTCTAGTTATTATGGGTACAAATAAAGGCAAAAGCAATCCTTAATGTCAAGGAGCTCATATTCATATGTGTGTGTGTGTGTGTGTGTGTGTGTGTGTGTGTGTGTGACCAGAAAACAACTAGTTACTTTCAAGAGGTATGATATAGCAGGGGCAGCTAGGTGGTGCAGTGGATAGAGCACCAGCCCTGAAGTCAGGAGGACCTGAGTTCAAATGTGGCCTCAGACCAAATACTTGACACTTACTAGCTGTGACTAGCAAGTCACTTAACCCCAGTTGCCTTAAAAAAAAGAGAGAGAGAGAAAAAGAGGTATATAGCAGAGATGGAAAGTCATTTCAGAATAGAAGACACTGGTAACTGAGGGAACTTGGGAAGGCCTCCTGCAGAAAATAGGATATGAGCTGAGGCTTGAAGGAAGCCAGGCAAAGTAAAGATGAGGAGGGAGAGGAGCCAGTGAAAAGGTGTGGAGAGGGGAGATGGAGGGCCTGTGTGGGGAATAGTGATAGTCCAGTGTAGCAGCAGCGTTGTTGAGTATGTGGAAAGGAATAGGGCAGAAGAAGAAAGGTATGAAGGAGCTCGGGCATGAAGAACTTTAAATACCCAAACTTTATATTTGATCCCAGAGGTAGTAAGAAGCCACTAGAGAGGTGACGTGGTCAGATTTTCAGTTCAGGTAAATTCCTTTGGCAGATATTTGGAGGATAGATTGTATTGTAGTGAGGCAAGGCAGGGAGACTGTTTAGAGGGCTGATGAAAGCCTAAACTAGTGGTGACTATGTGAATTAAGAGAAATGAATTTATGTAAGAAATTTATCAAGATAGAAACGCCTCATCTGGCATCTGATCTGGAATGAATATATGGGGTGAGTGAGAGGGAGTAGCTGATGGCAATGAAGCTTTGATCCAGAGTGACATGTCCAAAAGTGGAGTCATTATTTTTACCCTAAACCCATCCCTCTTCTGATTATTTTTCAAGAACACCACCAACTACCCCCTCATTCCCACTGCCATCACTTAGTTTCCTAACTTTCATGTAGACTCCTCACATATCCATTCTGTTGCCAAATGAGCTATTTCTACTTTGACAAGATCTTTCCCATAAGACCATTTCTTTCTATTCACACAACCACCACCTTGGTTCAGGCCCTCAGCACATGTTGCTTAAACTGCTGTTGTAGCCTCCTAATGTGTCTCTCCCTCCTCCAATCCTTCCTCTTTATGTTGCTAGTGATTTTCTTTAGGTACAGATCTGACCATGAAAAGTCCAATGGCTCCATTACTTCTGGGCTCATATGTAAACTCTTCTGTTCTGTATTTAGAGCTCCTCTTAACCAGTCCTTTCTTGTCTTTTTATTCTCTGTGCACATTTTTCCTTTCTCTGCTCCCACTGTATGGTTCAGCCACACTGGCCTGCTTGCTGTTCCTCACACAGAACTCTCCATCTCCTATTTTCATGCCTTTTCACTGACTGTCCTCTATCTCTTCTCTCCTTTTTGTGCTTTTTTAGAATCCATGGCTTCCTTTATGACTCAGTTACAGTTCCACCATTTGCAGGAGACAGTTTTCTATCCCCTTAGCTACTAATGTTTTCCTCTCTAAGGTTACCTTCCATCTACTTCATATGCATATTGTATGTTCCCATTAGATGTAAGCTACTTGAAGACAGGACCTGATTTTTTTTTTGTGGCCCCAGCATGGTGCCTGGCACTTTGTGAGTGCCTGATAAATATTTGTTGATTGATTAAGAAAGCCAGCTTGACATGTAGTGTGTGAAGGGGGAGTCATGATTAATATGACCTGAAAAGTGGGCTGGGGCTAGGTTTTGAAATGTCTTAAATGGTAAACAAAGGAGTTTCTCTTTGTTCTTAGAAATGATAGGAAACCACTGAAGTTGGAGCAAGAGGATGACATGATCAAAAATAGATTGATGGGAAAGATTTGAGGCAAGAAAACAATTAGGTTATTTGCCACTTCCCAGGCAGGGTTGTGGTTTTGTAACTTGAGAAAAGGTAATGTATTCCATAGATGTTGTGGCTACTAATAGAATATGTGAGGTGAATGAGGACAAGGAGCTGGGAATGATGCTGAGATTGTGAACTTTGGTGACTGGAAGAGGTTTTTGTTGCCTTTGACAGCATTGGGGAGGTTTGGAAAAGGGATGGGTTTTGGGGGCAAGAGAATTAGTTAATTTTGTTTTGCACATGTTGAGTTAAAGATGCCTACAAGACATTTAATTTGAAGTGTCCAATGAATAGTTCTTAATTAGAGCTTACTAGAGGGGGAAAGGCATATATCTATATCTGTATCTATGTCTGTGTCTGTATGTATATCTATGTTTGGGAGTCTTCTGCTTAGAGATTACAGTGAAACCTATGTAAGCTGATGAAATCACCAGATGAGGTTGCAGAGAAAAAAGACAGGAAGGTCCAGGACAGAGCCTTGGGGTACACCTACGCTTGGAGGGCATGATAGGGATGATGGTCCAGCAAAGGAGACTTGAGGGGTGATCAGACAAGGAGAAGGAGAAACGAGAGAGAACAGTACCATGATAGCCCAGAGAGGGGCTAGTAATCTGGAAGAGAAGATAGTAACATCAAATGCTTTCATCCAGAGCTGAGAGACTGAGAAAAAATTAGTGGATTTGACAAAAGACCATTGGGGTAATATTGGAGTGAGCAGTTTGAGCTGAACGATTAGGTCAGCCATCAGATTTCAGAGTTGAGAAGTGAATGAGGATTGAGGAGGTGGAGTAAATGAATGTGTACAAATTTTCTAGGAAGTTGGCTGATTAAGGGAGGAGAAATAAAGGATAATAGTGTGCAGGGTTGGTAGGGTTTAGCAAGGGATTTTAAGGATTGAGAATAGCCTGTTTTTTTAGGGAGCAGGAAAAGATGTAGAGATTGAAGATTAGAGAGGGAAAGTAGAATGATTATGGAGGCATTCTCCTATAGCAGTAGTCTAGGCAATAGGTGATGTGAACCTGAGCCCAGTTGGTGACTGGCTGAGTGGAGAGAAGGTGTGCAAGAGATGTTGTGGAGGTAGAAGTTAACATTATCAAGTTTTGGAAAGATGATATTCTTCTCATAGGTATATTTTATCCATGATATTCCTCTTATTCAGATGTTCCTGTTATCCAGAGATCTGTCTAACCTGATTTTTGAAGCACTATTCCACATCTTGCTCTTTGTGTAAAACCTAAGGCGTGTGTGTTTCTCACAACTGATGCAATTGGTTCCAAAATAGTACTTCCAGAATTAATAACTAGCCCGCTGTCTTATATGTAGTTGGCACACAGTAAATTCCTGCAAAGTTGTTGAACTTTTATTTTGAGCTATGGAACCTCTAGCAGACACAGTTGCTTTCACAGTTGCTTTTTCTGCTATTCATTTTTATTGTTAGCAAATTGCTTTGCTGAATTACAACAGTTCATGTTTCAGAGGTTCACAAGGCAAGTAGTTGATAGCCATTTGTAAATGTTTTTTACTCGTCTTAGAGTATTGAACAGAAGTTTGTGTGTTCTGTGGAATGAGTAGAAACAGAGATGGACCTTTTATTACTGAGCTTATTAGCTCAGGTCTAGTTAATTCTCTTCGTTATTTGTCTAGTTGTGCAGAGTCCTTGGGCAGAGGGAAGACAACCCTGGTTATGCATTACTCCATATTGCCTGTGGCTCATATATATGCAGATTTTTGTTTGCCTAACATCCAAACTGTGAATGACTTGGGCTGCCATTTTGTTTAAAGTCCTTAATGTTCAATTTCAGGTACCTTTCTCATCTGAATGTTTGTTTCTCACAGTGATGGGGAAGGAAGGAAAAGGACTTCATCTATCTGTAGCAGTGACTCCTTAAATGTGGGAGGGATTTCTGTCACTCCTCGACGTGTCTCTTGGAGGCAGCGCATTTTCCTTCGAGTTGCTTCACCTATGAATAAATCTCCCTCAACAATGCAGCATCAAGGTTTGTATATCAATGAGAATCTCTTCTGAGCATATTCTTCAGGGAGGAAAATGAAAATTTTGATATAGAAAGAGGTTTATGCTATTTTTTAAAAAAAATCTGTTCTTGCTCTGTTTGTTAGGGATAGGCAAGTATAATATGGAGAATAAAGCATAGGGATACTTTGTCATATTGTTTCCTTCTCTGGAAGGAATCAATTATGTTTTAACCCATAAGTGCTGCCACTGGGGCTACGAAATACCACTGGATGCCACTGCCAGGCCTAAGTTATTATGAGGAATTTTTAAAAATTAGAATGATGAAAAGCTACACATTGTGAAGAGTGGCTGCCATTAAAAGCACTCTCTTTAATTTTGTAGCTTTAGTTGACTGTTTTGCTTTATAGTATTTTTACACTTCTCTCTGTGGAAGTAGTCAGTAATATCTCAACTGTTTAAACATTGTGTGGGATACAAAGAAAAAAATGAAACAATCATGGACCCCAAGGAGCCTATATTCTGTTGGAGGAAATAACACATACACATATGAGTAGATTCCAAATATATCAAAAATAAATACAAGTTATTTTGTGGGGAGAAGTAATAGCAACCTGGGTGATCAGAAGAAAGCTTCATGTAGGAAAGGGGACTTGGGCCCCTCTTTGAAGGGAACTAGGCTTTCTAAAGGCAGCAGTCAGGAAGGACCATGTTTCTTGCATGGAGAACAGGCTGGGTAAAGGTTTACTTTCATTAGAATGTAAGCTCCTTGCATGCATTCTTTCATCTTTTGTATTTGTATCTTTTATCTTAGTAGATACTTAATAAATTCTTTCTGAGTGACTGATTGATGTGAGGGACAGAAAAAAGTACATTTTGGTTATACCGAACAGTATGTGAAGGAGAGTAATGTGGAATAAATCTGGAAAGGTAATCTGGAGCCAGATGTTGAAGGGCTTTAAATGTCAAACGGAAGAATTTGTATTTGATCTTAGAGGCAATAGGGAGCCCAGGAGATCCATGAACAGGAGAGCATGGCGTGGTTAGACTTTTGCTTTAAGAATATCACTGTGATAGCTTTGTAGAGCATGGGTTTTGATTGATGGATTCTTTATGGTTAATAGAAAATTTGCTTTCATTTCTGATTTTTATAAGCTGAAGAAAATTAATGAATAGCTTGTTTTTGATAATATCCCATTATATAATTATGTCATTCCACAAATATTTGTTGTGAACTCATAGGATACATTGAGTCATGCTAGGTCCTGGAGAAATAGACTTCAAGCACTTGATCCTCTAAAATTGAGATGAGACGTTAAAACATGTAGTTCACTGGGTACATAGAAGTACACCTTGCTTTAAATTCAGTGATGAATTAATGAATGGAAAAACACTTATTAGTACTTAGTACAAATAGAAAAAGTGAGACAATCCCTGTCCTAAAAGAGCTCAACCCCTAATTGAGGGGAAGACTGTATGTAAAAGAATGTTTAGCTGCAAGGCAGATGGAAAGGCCTAGCAGTCCTAAGGGTACAACAGTGGGGTGCATGTGTTTCATATATTCGTTTTCCAAGTCTACTGTGTTCTTCATTATACACTAAAGATTTCTATAAGCACAGGTCCGACTGGGTTACACCCTCTCTCCCAACCCCCAGCCTCTGGTACATTCCAGGGGCTCCTTTTACTTTCAGGATCAACTATAAAATTCTCTGTTTGGATTTTTTTTCTCTGTTTGGATTTTAAAACCTTTCACAACCTGGCCCCTTCTTTTCTTTCTAGTCTTCTTGCGCTTTGTTCTCCTTCAGATATTTTTTGATTCAGCAACATTGGCCTACTTGCTGTTCCTTGACATATCTGGAATATTCTCTCCTTCCTTACTTCTGCCTCTTGGCTTCCCTGGCTTCCTTCAAGACTCAACCCAAGGGGCAGCTAGGTGGCGCAGTGGATAGAGCACTGGCCTTGGAATTAGGAGGACCTGAATTCAAATTTGGCTTCAGACATTTGATACTTACTAGCTGTGTGACCCTGGGTAAGTCACTTAACCCACTGCCTAGCCAAAAAAAAACAAAAACGAAAACAAAAAACAAGACTCAACCCAAATCCCATCTTGTGCTGGGAGGTCTCCACAACTCCTAGTGCCAGCCCTCTGAAATTACCTCTCTTTGTATCTTGTACAAACATAATACATACACATGTTATCTCCCAATATATCTAAGATATATTGTCTTAGAATGTGAAGACCTTGAAGGTAGGAACCATGTTTTTGTCTTCATATCCTTAACATGTAGTACAGTTCCTAGCAAATAGTTAAGTGCATGATTTATGTTTGTTGATGGACTACATTGACATTTGTATTTGAAACCTGCTTAGTTCTGAGGGTGGATTTAAGAAGAAGAATATTAAATAATACTTAATAATAATAATTTAAGCCTTAAGGGATGATTTATTTCTAACCCACTTCAGTGTTATTTCTTGTACAGATTTATTGCAGAAGTACTATACTATCAGGAGAAAGCTAATTTAGTTGGAAGCACCTATTCTGAAGGTATTGTGAAAGAAGACACTGTGCATAAAGAGGAAGTGGTACAATTATGTGTGTTTTTGTTTCATTATAAGAAGGAAGTGTAGTAGGGGAATTCAGTCAGTTCACCTAAGTCATTGATTCAAATAGCAGTCTGAAATGTCACCAGAGAAGTAAGTCGACTTTCCTGAAAACACCCACTTGTGGTACATGAGAGATTCCCAACATCAGAAGAAAAAAGTCTGTAACGCACTTGGCTAATAAGAAGGGCATGTCATTACTTTATTTCTTTGTAGATGGACTTGACAGAAACGAGCTGCTGCCTTTGTCTCCTCTTGCTCCAACTATGGAAGAAGACCCTCTTATCTTGTTCTTGCCTGGTGAAGACAAACCAGAGAAGGTTGACAACAGAAGAAAATCTGAAGAACTACGGGGTTTGTGGAAAAAAGCTATCCACCAACAAATTTTATTGCTTCGAATGGAAAAAGAAAATCAGAAACTGGAAGGTTAGCCACTCAGAGAAACAGGGCTAGAAAGATAATGCTGTAATTTAAGGATGTTGTTTATATACTCACCTTGAATAGATTTGTTGCTTTTTTTTTTCAATGAGATGTTTTTGTTGTATAGTCAATATATAAGAAAAGTCTGGCTTGAGGTAATTTAGGATTTGATTTGTGCTTGAATTGTGATAAGAGGTCAGTTTTAAGTATAGAGCTTAAAATATCAAAAGGTAAAATAAAAATAAGAGTTTAATTCAACTTTTACTGATTTTAAGTGTGATGCAAAATGAGTTTAATTTTGAGGCAAACTATCTACTCTTTAAATGTGATTCAACATTATCAGGCTTATTAAAATCTACAAAGCATTAGTTTGAGTATTTTAATAGACTCCTTTTATAGGTAAGCATTAGCTTCTTACTATCTGTTAGAAATTCCTCTCTTTGTGATAATTTGTCCATTAAGAAAAAACAACATGAAAGCAATTTGTTACTCTTATTTTTGTTTATACGTTGTACTTTTGCTTCTCCTCTCTTTCCATGTTGGCTCTGATTTATAGAGCCATATAGTAGATGTAATGGGTAGAGTGCTGGGCTTGCTGTCAGGAAGACTTGAGTTAAAACCTGTCTCAGACAACTTAAGGTGTATGTGTGACCCTGGACAATTCTTTTAACCTCTGCCAGCTTCAGTTTCCTCTCTTGTAAAATGGGGATAATATTAGCATTTACTTTACAACATTGTGAGGATCAGATGAGACAAAAGAGTAAAGTGTTTTATAAATCTCAAAGAAGTGTAAAAATGCTGTTGTTGTGTGACTACAAGTACATGGGAGTATAAGCCTGCCCCTGTGTAATGATCCTCTTTCTTTCCTAAGAACCTTCTAAAATAACTTAAATAGTAATAACTTACCTTTATGTAGCACCTTGTTTCACAGAGTACTTTACAGAGTGCCCTACAGTCCTGTGATATAGGTATTAAAATTGTTATCCTGTTTTTTCAGATGAAGAAATTGATGTTATGAAAACCACTGTAATCTGTGGAGATTTAAGATGATCTTATGTTTTTAAAATCGTCAAATGTAATATCTAGCCCTAAATCATAGTTCTTGAAAACACTTTGGTTTAACATAAACTTGTGAAGAGTCAAGAAAAGTTGGTATAATTCTCTTTAAGTAATTAGTCATGAAATTATATCCCATTAACAAGAGAGGTGATTTCCAAGGGAACAATCTGATGTAATGTGGTCAGACTGCAGTTCATTTTACATCCCTGCTCCTTTGGCTGTGTGACTACAGGAAGGTCACTTAATTTTCCTGTACCTTAATTTCCCCAAATGTAAAGTGAGGATAATAGTGCTTTAACATGTACTTCACATTAGCTTCAAATGATTTAAAGTATTTAAAAGACTTTGCCATCTTCAGAATGCTATATAATGCCAATTTTTCTTATTAATTACTATTAAAAATTCTAAATTCAGATAGTAATTTTTTTTTCATCATGGAATCAGAAAGCAATACCTTTATTTTTTAGGGGAGAGGGAACTAAGGTTCTTGGTGGGGGGTGTGTGGAGAAGAGATTACAACATTACAAAGAGACTAGGGGCAGTGCCTGGGTTTCTTAACTTTCAACCCAGAACTTTTTTCATTATTCAGTTTTGCTTCCTAACTAAATACTTTGCTACATGAAAAATTTATTTATTATTCCATACAGTACAGGTGCCTTGTTAGATTGTTAATTTTCTATACCTCAGAGGGCAATGGGGTCAATAGAGTTCTAGATGAATATGGTAGAATTCTAGCCAATGAAAATACCAGCTCCTAATATATTCTTACCTGGTGAAGATGACCCAGAGAAAATGAGAGGGAGGAAAAAAATCATAAAAACTATGAATTTAGTGGAGAAAATTTAAACAGATCCTTTTTGAAGGATCTCCATAGTAAAGCTTAACATGGAGCCAAATTAGTTGCTGTAATTGTTTTTTTTTAAGTGCTCTTTTCCTAAAAAGCACCTGGTAAATGTGTTAGAATATAAGCATTGACCAAAGTGGGAGCCAGTCTATCGTTTAAAAGCCATCTAGTGGCAACTGTTGTCAGACGCAAGTTTTCTGCAATGCTGTCAATATATTACTATTGTTTCCTATTTCAAATATGTTGGCATGAAAATAATAATTTATTCTATTGTTTTTTCTGCTATCGAGGACTCTTATTTTTTATAGAGATTTGTTTTACAGAAGGTAAGGTTATTTAAGTAACATGCTTGAGTGAATCCAGATTTTTCTGAGTCAGTCTTTTCCCTAAAAAAAAAAAAAAAAGAAAAGAAAAAAATTCCAGCTGACCTTAATACATAAAAAAACAAAAATAAGTTTAAAGTGTTTTTGATTCCCCTTTAAAAGTCAGGCAGTTATTCAGAAAAGAGACAAAGCTTCCATATTGCTTAATTAAAAAGTATTGGGTGGAGCAGCTAGGTGGTGCAGTGAGTAGAACTCTGGTCTTGCAGTCAAAAAGACCTGAGTTCAAATGTGGTGTCAGATGCTTGACACTTACTAGCTGTGTGACCCTGAGCAAGTTACTTAACCTTGACTGCCTCACCAAAAAGCAAAACAAACAAACAAACAAACAAAACTGTGCATACATCTATATATCTATATATGTGGAAGTTTTTTATTTTGTATTAAATATTTGTGTTTCATAGGAATATTAGAGCTAGCAGGGACCTCAGACGCTATCTAACTTATCCCCCTCATTTTACAGATGAAGTAACTAAGGCCCTGGGGAGATAAGCGACTGGTCTAAGGATACATAGTTTAGTATCAGAAACAGTATTTGAACTCAAGACCTCTGATTCTAGAATCAGTACTCTTTCCCTGTTCTATGTTAAACCTGTCAGGTGAGATGAGGTAGAATAGGGGTTCTTGAAACTTTTGAAAAACCAGAATATTTTAAGCTTCATTTTAATTGTATTTTTTCACCTTTAAAATCTCACTAAAAGCCATGCCCACATTATACTAATTGGTTTATTCTCTCAAAAAGTGGAGACACAGTGGGTATTTTCACTCTTAGTATTGGCATTGGTATAGAGCAGAAAGCCAGCCTTTTTCAAGTAGTAAAGGCCCATTAGTACTTGCTGAGTGTCAGACTATATATAGTCCTCACATCCTTGTCAATATTTGTAGCTTAAAGAAGAAATAGTGGAGTAGATAGGGACATTTTTCCATACATGTCACATGTAAATTATTTAGACTTTAGGGACTTTTAAGAATGCCAGATATGGCACTTATGGCCTATCACTTTGATTCAGGGATTGAAGTCTTCTGTATAGTAATAAGAATGGCAGTTTGCCTTTATTTGTATCAAATAATCATGTTGTTTATATAATAAAGAATAAAATATGCTTAGGAAATTCTTAACAATTTTTATATAAGATATTTATGATGTGAGGGCCTATTTGTATATGTATAATTTTTACATTTCGTTTTAAGAATTTTGTTGAGAAGTTTTCAGCGACCACTTATTTGAAAGCTCTTGTGATGATTTTACTATAATTTCAAAATTTCAGAACAAAAAAAAGTCAGTAGGTTTGGTCTTACAACCTTTTTTCTTGCTTTCTTTTAGCGAGAGCCGTGATGAACTCCAGTCCAGAAAAGTTAAATTAGACTATGATGAAGTTGGTGTATGCCAAAAGGAAAACTTACTGTCATGGGATAAGAAATTATTAAACTACAGAACTAAAATCAGATGTGATATGGAAGATATTCATATTACTCTTAAAGAAGGTATTGGGGACAAGGGAGTATCATGTTAGTTTTTCTTAGAGGTACCATATCACAGTATTTTAACTTTGGCCTTGATAGCTGTGACACTTGGTAGTAAACAAAAGTTTTTTTCTGTCTCTGACTAGTTTGGCAGTTGCTAAAGCAGCAGATTTGACCTTTGTACGAGTCATTCATTTGTGGTGTGGACTTCCTTATCAATCCCAGCTAATGGTGGTCCCTCTACCACTTGGGGATTATAAAAACAACTCAGAGTGCATGCCCTACTCATGATGGATTGGTAGCATATCCTACATGTACAAAAGAAAATTCATTACTGTCATCTTATCATAATAGCTTTTTATAATTCACTTAAATATGTTGTGTGTGTGTGTGTGTGTGTGTGTGTGTGTATACCTACTTAAGGAGATTGTGAGAAGAGTGTGTGTATGTGTGTGTGTGTGTGTGTACATATATATAAAATATTCCTTAGTCACATGACACATAGAATCATAGTATCTCAGAGCTGGAAGGGATGTCAAATTTGATAGACCAATCTATCTTTAGTTGTTTGATTTTTGTTTTTTGCCTTTGAGATATGTGATATTTTGAAATTTTTCTATGAATCAAACTATGTTAAGAACTTTTAAAAATGTGTTATCAAATTTTGAACCTGAATTCATTGTATTAAATAGAAACCTGTCCAACTATCCTCAGAAGTTTAGCCCTTGCCTTCATGAATCTTCACCTGATTCCATCCTCGCGTCCCTCCCCAATTTAATGAGATTCCCCTTCAGTCTTCAAAACATTTTGTGCAAGGGGCAGCTAGGTGGCACACTGGATAGAGCACCAGCCCTGGATTCAGGAAGACCTGAGTTCAAATCCGGCCTCAGACACATAATACACACTAGCTGTGTGACCCTGGACAAGTCACTTAACCCCATTGCCTAGCCAAAACAAACAAACACAAAAAAAACATTTTGTGCTGAAAAAAAAATGCACTTCTCACATAATAGTATGTACTTTAGTTATTCCCCTACTAGGTTGTAAACTCCAGAAGAACAGGGACTATAGCATCTCCTTTGTGGCTTTCTTGAAAGTGTTTATTGAATAAATGAATGTATATCTATTGATTTAATGTATTAAACTGTTACTAAAACTCCAAGAAGAGCCTGAAAGTATTCTAGAATTCTTTGAAAATTGGTGCTTTTGTATATTGGCTACATAAATGATATATTTTAAATTTTAATAGAAACAACAGAAATGCCCTTTTTCTTTGGTGATCTGGAAATCTTAAGAAAAATTAATAGAATAAACTTTTCAGGAAAAATATATTGAATAAAATACAGGTGAGATTTAGACTTGTAAATGTATATTTTTTAGAGACTTTCAAAGCTATTTTAGAAAAATTTCTTTTTTTAAAAAAATTTGATGCATGGGATGTATAATTAGGAACAAATTCAGGTGTCAGGATTTCATTTAACAGTAAATTTTAAGCTACCTCAAGATAGGTCATTTACTAGCCTGGCAGTACAACCAATTGAGAATAAAGTAACTTACTGTATTGACTTAAGCAGTAATGACTTCAGGAAGCAGAAGTCTCACACCCCTTCTTACAAAAATATTAAAAGCAGTCATATTAACCATGTTGTTTCTTTCGTGACCCAAAATATATTCAACCCAGCAAACATTAAGTGCCCACTGTATAGAGTACTTTGTGCTAGACACTGTTGTTGTTGTTCAGTAGTTTCAGTTGTATTTGACTCCTTGTGACCCTTTTTGGGGTTTTCTTGGCAAAGATACTGGAGTGGTTTGCCATATAGGATATACAAATTAGACCCAGTCCTTGCCCAGTGAAAAATCAATCATTTTATTAATAAAATGTTTTCCTGAGCAGAATAGCTCCTAAGATATTAACTACTATTTTTGCCCCCACCCCCAGTGACTGAATACCATTGTTCTGAGCTGGCCAGAGAATTTGGGTTTTTCTCTAGTTCTGTCACCACTATATGTGACTCAGTTCAGCTCTAATTTTCTCATTTTTTTTCTCCTTTGAATAGGTAAATGTTCTATGTGACATACCCTGCAGAGGTGTTATATGGGTTACTTTCAGACTGTCAATTTCAAAATATATGTTATGCATAATTATGAAGTAACAGAGACAGAAGAAACCTTAATATTTATCTAGTACAGTTCCCTCATTTTGATTATATATGAAGATTTATTCAAAAACTTCAAACCAACTAAAAGATGAAAATAGTGTATTTGCATTATAACTTTAGAGATTTCTGCATGGGATTAAAGTGATTGGTTGTCTTGGAATGTTTTCTGTTCAAAAGATGAAGGCAACTACAGGATTAAACTTGTTTAAATTACCCTTCTGTCATTATTGAATGCATTACTTAATCTTAGCAGGTGGCATGGCCTAAAGTTGCTACTGTCAGCATTGCATACAGTACTGCTAATGCAATTTTGCAAGCTAATTCAAGTGTTTAAACTCTTGTTGGTTTTTCTCTTTATTCTTAGGGGTGCCTAAAAGTCGCCGAGGAGAAATTTGGCAGTTTTTAGCTCTACAGTATCGTCTGAGGCACCGATTGCCAAGTAAACAACAACCTCCTGACATTTCCTATAAAGAACTTTTGAAGCAGCTCACAGCTCAGCAACATGCTATCCTTGTAGATTTAGGTATGGTTGCCATATTGATAAATAGCTTACTAAAGTGCATATCCTGTCCTTTTGTTGAAGTTATTAATGGCCCTTTCTTTTCTGGGAGAAAGGACATGCATTCTGCTTACTATGGTTTTTAGACAATTCTCTAACAAAACCTTTTTGAAGGTATTTCTGTTTGCCTTAGTTCTTACTTCTCTTTCATCTCCATTGGGTTGTGTTATTAGAACCGAAGACTTCTTTGAGAGTCCTATATGATAGGCGTTCAGTAACTTTTTGTTGAATGAATCGAGGAAACGTTGAACAAACCTAGAAAGAATGGTGGCAAGGACTGTGATTTTGGAGGATAGATATCCCAGACAGTGGATTCTGTTCCTATTGGAGTGAAAAATAATGAGAGCACATTTTTGGGGAAATTGAAAAATAATGACAGAAAGACTTTCAAGACTAAGGTTTAGTGAGAAAAGGGCATATAAAGGTGTATATTTGTGTTTTTTATTTTGGCTAATTTTATTTAACTGAAGAAGTAACAATGTAATAGAGATTATGGGGAAAATTGATATTACAGCCATCTGTATCTCTTCAGCCTTTTCATATTATTATGTCACTTCTTTCTCTTGTTTATACTGTAGATTAGCTATGATTACAAATTCCTGGAAAAACCACTTATGTACATATGTGGGAAAGAAAGCAAAAACTTTTTAGATTGGCATCTCTGCAAGTTCTGATAGAAAGTAATTATTCAGCAAAGGCATAAAATCTGAGAAGCTAACATAAGATCTCATTTTCTTTTGAACGAAGAAATGTCATGCCAACACCGTTACTGTTTTGGTGGTGGAGATGCATTTGTTACAGTACTTAGTTGTTACCATTTGGAGATTTCTGACTAAATTGCTTCCTAGCTGAAGTTGCTTCATGTTAATTTCATGCCCCAAGATGGATTTTTGAGGGAAGTATTTTACAATTTTTATCATTTTTCTCTTCCTTTTCTTCTTTCCTTTTTTCCTTTTCCTTTTTAAAGCGTTATATAACTGACAGTAATTCAGGCACATGTTCTATGAACTTATGGAGAAAATTTTAAGGGCTTTCCAAGATAATAGTATGGAGCCTAGAGGAAATTCTGGGGAGAAGAGATTTCCTAAATGTGAAGATAAATGGGAAAACTGCCTCCAATGTCAAATTCCTAGAAAAGGAGTAGGAAGTCTGTGTATGACTGACTAGATTTCCCCTTGAAATTAGATGATGATAACACTGTTTAAGAATTGTTTTAAGTTAAAACATGAGCTCTGCTAGAATTATCTGACTTAATAACAAATTTGAATCCTTGGGTTTCTTTGTGTCAAGAGTTTGCTTTAACACCAGTCCATTTTCCCTTGCAAAATTAATCTGCTCTTCTGCAGAAGTTGTTTTAATATATTTCCTGAGGTGAACTGGGTGGGTGAGTTTGTATAGTGAATAGAATGTTAGACTTGGAACAGAGTGGTCTGGATTAGCTGGCTCAGGGGTGGGGAACGTGGGGCCTTGAGCCCACATGTGATTGTCTAGATCCTCAAGTGCAGCCCTTTGACTGAATCCAAACTTCACAGGAAAATTCTCTTAAAAAACAAATCCACTTAATAAAAGGATCTGAAGTTTAGCAGTCTGAGGGCTGCACTTGAGGATCTAGAGGGCCACATGTGGCCTTGGAGCAGAAGGTTCCCCACGCCTGAGCTGGATGTTGGTTAGCTCTGGTTTCCTTTTACAACTAAACATTAGTTAACCTCGTGTGTGTGTGTGTGTGTGTGTGTATGTGTGTGTGTATACATTTGTAGACATACATAGATATACATATGTATACATGCACACATATAATTTTTTTTCTCTCTTGCTCTGACAGGAAGGACCTTTCCCACTCATCCTTACTTTTCTGTACAGCTGGGATCTGGGCAGCTATCCCTCTTTAACCTTTTGAAAGCATATTCTTTGCTGGATAAAGAAGTGGGTTACTGCCAGGGGATTAGTTTTGTGGCTGGAGTACTGCTTCTGCATATGAGTGAGGAGCAAGCTTTTGAAATGCTCAAGTTCCTCATGTATGACCTCGGATTCCGGAAACAGTATAGACCGGACATGATGTCCCTGCAGGTGAGTCAGTCCTTTGTCATAAACAAAGCAAGATCTTGATAGCAAATATCTTAGTAATAACTCCATTCACATTTAAGGTAGAGTGGAGACCTCTATTAAAATCTTGGAGTGAAAATAAGCATTGGAATGTAGGTAAATGCACTATTCCTATTGTTTTACTGGATTTTCTTAGGATGTGGGGATGTACTAAGTCTTTGGTAACAATTATAGATAACATTCTATTTTTATACTATACTTTTTAAACTAAGGCCTTGAAATAATCAAACATTTAGAAAGACGCTATGCTTACCAAAACAGAGGAGGTCCTAAGTTTAACTTTGGCTTTCCAAATCAATACTAGAGAGGCAGCTAGGTGGCGCAGTGGGTAGAGCACTGGCCCTGGAGTCAGGAGAACCTGAGTTCAAATCCACTTACTAGCTGTGTAACCCTGGGCAAGTCACTTAACCCCAATTGCCTTGTATAAAAAAAAATAATAGTCAATACTAGGTGACCTCTGATGTTCTTTCACACTCTAAATCTATGACCCTGTGATGACACAAGTATAGACTACATAGAGAAAATGTGTACCTTGAGAATTTTTTACTTTTTTGCAGCTCATTATTTGAGTAGTATCATAGATCATTTCTGAAACTTTTTTTCTTTTCTCTTGGTTATTGAAATAGAGTTTTCTTGATTGATTTATCTTTTTTGAAGTTAACATGAAAGCCTCATTAAAAACTAAACCAAATCAAGCTAAAAAATAAAATGACTCTCAGATTTTGCCTGAGAAAGAGAATTTATTTTCTTTTATTTAGTACTTGAAAATGTGGGGTAAAATTAGAGATGCTCCTTTTCATTTTTCCTTATCTGTTCCTTGAGGAAGGTGACTGAGGTAGTGAGTAGTAAGTAAGGATTTTTCAGCTTAGAAATGTGAGAGGTAGAGAGAATTTCCATAATTCCTGTACTTGCCCTAACTTTGGGCAAGAATTAAATACCTTGGAACTTCAAAAGAACTGTTATATTATCAATGTGGATTTTCGCTCTACCTAAATATGGAAAGAATCTAACCTTATTCACCTTGTTAGACTGTTTTTAGACAAATTTCTGATGATGAGCGTCTTTAGACCTGACTAACCTAGTCCTCTGGACAGTCCTATCCTATTCCTCTACCCATCCTGTTTCCCCCCCACCTCCAGTCTATACTTGGAGCCATTACAGCTTGGTAGAGTTTGCCTCTGCTTAGTTTTTTAATAATATTTTATTTTCCCCTTCAATTACATGTTAAAACAGTTTTTAACATTTTTTTTTAAGTTTTGAGTTCCAAATTATGTTCCTTCCACTCTTCCTCCCCACCCTCCTTCCTCAGATGATAAGCAGTCCTATGTAGATTATACATGAGAATGTATAGTCACCTTCAAGGTATGATCACCACTTGAAGAGGCATCAGAGTAGGAATGCAGTAAATAGATGGCGGTAGTTGTCAGTAGCTTGTCAAACAGTTATCAAAGTGACTAGAAAACTTCTTCATTACCTCATATTAAGTTCATATATCTTTGTCCCAGGCAGGTCACCTGAATTTAATAATTACGAATTCTGAAGAAAACATCTATATACATAGCTGCTATTTAGTATTTGGTGCTTGTAGAAATGTGGAAGGTGATGCCTACAGAGACAGAAGTCACTTCCATTTTCATCTTTTTAGGGTTTTTTTTTAATCTGACAAACAGATTTGCCTATAGGTACAGAAATTCAAATCTTTTTATGGCGGGGGTAATTTCTTCCAAAAAACTTAAATGAAGGGTTTTTTTTGTTCCCTATAGTTAAAGGTAGACATAGTACAAAATTCACTTAAAAATAAATCAGTTAGTTGTCTTTATGAAATATACATGTTGTGTGTATAAATCAACTTAATTTGACTGGTAATCCCCAAAAGATGGTTCCATTTATACTATAACTGTACTTCAAAAATCTTTGAATAACAACATTCTAGTCATTTGTAAAATGTATGAATAGAACTTTTCCTTCTGCAAAATGAGACTCAATACTTCCCACATCACAGAACAATGAGTTAGAATTTTCCTCTATTGAAAATGAGGAACAGAGGTCTCTCAGAACAGCTTTTTAGAGAGGAATTAAAAAATCCTGGCAATATTTCTAATGTAAATATTAGCTTTTATCCCCCCTTATTTAACAAAGAATGACAGTAAATGGTAGCTTCTGCCTTTCAGGACTTTGGCAGTATATCAAGCCTATTCATGTTCTACCCATTAACTTCTCTCTTACCATTTCCTTTTCTTTTTCTCTGTCCATTTTCCTCCTCTCCTCCATCACACACACACATACACACACACACACACACACACACACACACACACACACCCACACACCCTGTATAGGTGATAAATACGTATATATTTCTTCTCTAGTTTTAATTAAAAAGGTAAATGAAATAGTTTAGATTATTATGAAAGAAAGGGCTTTTTTTAAGTGGCAGGCACTGCAGTGAGAGGTATCTTTATCTCTGTCCTTCCTTCAGTGGCGCACATGGAATTATCCTCTTCTTACTCTTTCCCTTTCCCCTTCCCCTTTGTCTTCTTATTGCAATAGCCCCTCACAGGTCCCAATGCTGATTGATTTAGAAGCTTTTACTTACTCCATTTTTCCTATCTGGTCCCTTAGACAGCTTTGTGGACTTCCACACTGGGGGTTCACCATATTAACACTTAATTGGCTTTAGCCCAACTGCAGCTCAGAAGCTCAGAAGTGAAGGAATCTATAAGCCTGAGCCTCTCCCTTACCTATCTTTAAAACAAACAAACAAACAAATCCTGTTTTCTCCAAGAAGCCTTTTTAGATTCCTCCAAATTGGTAATGATGACCTTCTTCACACATAACACTTTGATTATCCTTTTAAATTCAGTTCTCTGCTATTTTGTATTATGTGTGTTCTCTTAGGAGGAGTGATGAACTTGGGGTTAGAGGATCTGGTTTTCCATCTTGGCTTTGTCTCTTAATACCACTGAGACCTTGGGCAAGTCACCTCTCTATGCCACAGTTTTCTTATTTGTAAAGTGAAGGGGTTGATCCCTTCCAGCTCTACATCTGTGATCTTGTATCGCTTTACTAGACTGTAATCTTCATGAGCATGGAGACCACTGTCTTTGGTGTCTATTTATGTTGTCTGATACCTGTCCTGCCCCAGGAGAGCGAAGTAGGCATATCCTCTTGCTACTCATGTTCTTCTTTAATCCCTTCTTGAGGTGAAGTCACTTAGCAACCTTCCCCTATATCACTTTATCCACGTTCTTGTTGTAGTTACCTCTGGGCTATCAGGTCTATTAATGGAGTTCAACATTGGCTTAATCTTCCCTTCTTCCTTAGCCCTTTCAACATGTGGGAAATTCAGTATACATGTTTAGGCCTTTTTAAATGCCATTGCCTCCAAGTTTACCAGCTTCCTCAACTCTGATGCTCTCCATCTTATCCCACTTTAGTTACATGCAGAGGTGGTCAGAAAGCTCAAGAAGCTTCAGTGGTTCCCTACTGCCACTACAAAAAATATGTATTTCTTAGGTTGGCATTTAAGTCTACCCTTGCAGATTTGTTCCACATTGTTCTCCCTCATGCATTGTGTCCACCCATACTTGCTCCTTGCTATTCCCTGAACTGAGCACTATCTCTTCTACATCTTTTCCTTGTCTTCATTCCCTCTGCCAGGGACTTTCCCCTCTACTCAGCCTCTTAGGACCTTAACCTTCCATCAAGGTTTAACTCAGATGCTACAACCTAGAGGAAATCTTTCCTAATTGTCTTAGTTGCTAGCTTTCTTTCCTTTCTCATATTATTATATATTTACTTGTTTAGATAAGTGTTGTATTCTGCATCCTTCTCTAGGTAACCTCCTTGAAGGCTGGGACTGTTTTCCTTTTTGTCTGTGTTTACCTTGTGCGTAGTGCTTAATAGGCATTTAAGAAATATTTGTTAAATTGACTTGGATTGTATTTAGATTAAACTATGTCTACCCCACTAGCCAGCTAAATATTCTCTATATTATATGGATTAAAATCTTTTTTGTCAGATAAATGATTTCTTTGTGTGATCCTGATGTATATATTTTCTTTGAACTCCTGGCTTAAGCTGTAAAGAAATCATAAAAATGTGATTTTTGTGTTACAACCATTATTTTCCTACATAAGAACAACAGAATATTTTGGATGAAGTGACTCAAAATTAAGTATGATCTCTTTTAATTTTAGTTACTTGTTGGCTTCCTGTAAACTTTATTATGCCAAATTAATTGTTATGTTGATTTAAAGCTGGTATTTCTACTTTCTAGAACTAGAACTACTTGTTGAAGTACACATGAAAACAATATATTTTTTCAGTAGGACTTATAGAAATATATTAATATGCTTCTAATCATTTATATTTCACTCATGATAAGCTCCTTTGTTTTATAGCTGTACTTTTACATGATTGTGGCAAACAGGGGTAAGAAGGAATTAGAATTAGCAGCACCTCAAGTTTCTGAGTGTGTATTTTAGCTGAGCAGTGGTAGTGAGCACTCCTATGCTCCATACTCCTGAGGAGGAGGAGACTGGTGTATCATTGGGCTTGGGAGTTCTCATCTGCAGTGTGGTAAGCCTATTGGATATTGGTGCTAATATGGTGAGCTCCTAAGAATGGGCAGGGAGTGGGGGTTCAGCAGGCTGCCTGAGGAGTAGTGAACTAGCCCAGGTTAGAAGTAAAGCAGGTCAAAGTTCCCATGCCAGCAGTGGGATATGGCCAGCAGGTAGCCCTTTACCTCTAGACTGGGTGAGATAGGGATTCTTAGTATCAAAACAAACCTAAACATCAAATACCTATCTGAAAGTCTGAGCAAGGCAAAACAGTTAGTAAATTCATAAATTGTTGTTTAAATTTTTGTTTGCCAGACTAATTATGATTAGTAAGAAAATAAACTGATTTCCTAAGTATGTATATGAATTTCACATTAATGCACAGATAATATCTCTAATCAAAGACAGAATATCTTACTTAACTAATTTGCTTTAGGGATAGAAATGCCAAGAATTGTATTTGAGTTGGACCTTGAAGGATGGATAGGAATAAACAGGTAATTATCTTGGATCATGAAGAGTACCTGTGGGTGATACATACTTTCATTTATACAAATAAATGTATGGAACTTGTTTGACATTTATGGATAGGTTTTTAATGACCCTCTATGATCTAAATATACTTGGACTTTTGGATCACCCTTAAACTTATAATATTAATAGATTTGTTTTGAGAAAGTTTATATGAAGTTTAAAGATTAAAAAAACTTTTTAATGCAGTGTAAATTGTGTACTTTAGAAACATCAAAACAGGCATGTAACATTCTTCCTCTTAAAATTAACTTTAGATTCAGATGTATCAACTCTCAAGGCTCCTTCATGACTATCATCGAGATCTCTACAATCACCTTGAAGAGAATGAAATCAGCCCCAGTCTTTATGCTGCCCCCTGGTTCCTCACATTGTTTGCCTCCCAATTTCCATTAGGATTTGTAGCCAGAGTTTTTGGTAAGATATGAACTATAGTCATTTGAGCATTTTTATTTATTACAGAGACTACCTAGCCATGTGGTGCCCCATTTTTCACGTTTTGCATTAACAGTGGCAAATTAATATTGGCATCTGATTCCTGTATCTGGCTATATTGATAATGATTTGAAACCATTTGAGTCTTAAATAGAGTTGAAATGAGAAACCCCAAGAGTTGAGCCATTGCCTTTGGACAGGCAGCAATAGAGCTATTATTTTCATATATTCTTGAAAGATAAATCAATGTCTTATTTTTCCTGAATCTGAGACAAGCACTCATACAGCACTGATTTCTGCATGAGTCTTTAGACCTGACTTTGCTCTGTTTTTTCTTTGCCCAGTAGACATCTTCTCTTTCCATCCAAGAAACAGTTTCCTAGTGAGATTATCTACCTAAGTACCCTTGTATATGTTATTTTAATTATCTCTTTTTATTGCTATTGGAGTGATGATTTTAATTCCTCTTTTTGTTAATGGTTCCCCTTCCCCATCCCCCATGTTGGCCAAGGAACAGGTTGAAAGAGTGCTCAGCTGTCTGAGTCATTGATATATGACTGAAGAGCATTACATAACTTGAGTGAGGCTGCCTGTGTTCCTGAAGGGTGGGCAGTCACCTATTTTCCAAGTGTCATTTTAAAGAGATTCAGCTATTTGTTTGTGGCAGTTTCAAGCAACTTAGAGCACTTCCTAGAGAGTCACAAGTTATTTTCCACATTACAGCTCAATATTACTTGGTCAGCGCTAGCATTTTGGATTGCGGCAGTTGTCAAGTGTCATCTGTTCTCTGGATCATTTGTCAGCCATCTTGTTAAAAATTAAAAACTTACCAGTCTGCCCTTTCCAAGATTCACCTTTTCAGCCAGGGAGTCTATAATCAGATGCAAGAGAAACAAAAGTGGCCTAGAGAATCAGAACATCCAGTGTTTACTAGGTGCCTGCTGTGGTGTATAGGGTGCTGTACTCTGCAGTACAGATGCCAGGACAAAAACCTGAGAGGCCTTTGGCCTTGGAGGCTGCCAAGGGAGGAGGGGACTGAGAAACTTTGTTTGCCTTTGAATGAGGAACCTTTAACAGGACTCCCACAGTCTAGGGAGAGAAGGAAATTTTTAGGGGAAATCCAGGTGTTGATTGCCAGATCCCAACTATGTCAGGCCAGTGCCTAAGTTCGTCACTTACCATCTCAAGAAGTGTGGCTTATGGCTTTCTCTCATTCTTTTCTGTGCTTGTCAGTGAATACATTTATTTTATCTCCTCTTTGATACAGTCGTCTCATCGACTACTTAGGAGTAGCACTTTGTCTACTGAGGATCTGCACAAATTAGATATTACACATATTAAATATATGTGTGTATATGTGGTTAAGCCCCTCTTCTTTCTGTGGATCTTCTGTTTGATCATGTATCAGTACTTACATATCTCTGGGAATTCTGCTTGGGATTGTACATAAATTAAACATGCATAGTATCTTAGACCTGTGGCTAGAAGGAACCTCAGAGGTCACATATCTGGTCTAGGCCCCTTAATTTACAGATGAGAAAACCGAGGCTGAGACAGGTTAAGTGACTTGCCTAAGGTTGCCCAGGATAAAAGGAGTCAGAGTTGGGTCCTCTGACTCCAGAGCCAGTGCTAGTGTAAATAGCTACACTAGTGCCTGTGCTGTATCCCTTGTTCTTATAATGGGAAACAACCTAAAACAAACCCAGAGACAAACCAACCAACCTTTTTAGGCTTTTCTTTTCCACTCTAATCTTAGATTCCTTTGAGTTAAGGGATTGAATGGAATTTGGCAAAACAATATGAACTTCAGTTCCATAGAAGGCTTTGCTTTATTTACAGCACTGCCACCTTATACTGTCATCTTTGGATTGCAAAAGGATCAGCCTAACTCTTTTCAAGGGATAGGATCATATAATCATAAGTAGATCCTGAAATGACCTTAGCAATCATTTAGTATAAGTCTCATTTTATCACTGAGGACACTGAAGCCAAGGAAGATCAAAATGGCTTGCTGAAAGTCACAAAAGTGACCACTGTCAAGAGTCAGGATTCAAAACCATGTTCTTTTCTGTTTTGGGAGAAATAGAAGTAAAGCACAGTCTCTTTATAGTACTTAATCACTTTAGATTCTTTATTTAAAAAGTAATACACAGATGGAATTTTGTATATAGTTTTATGCTCAAAGACTTAGTATAATCCTGAGGAAATAGTGAGCTAAGAGGAATATAGTACACATATTTACTCACATTCTAGGACTCTTAATATAAGCCTCCAATTTCCCTTCTAAGGATGATTAATGTGGTTTATCCTATCAATTTTCTCCAAAATGTTCACTTATTGTCACTGTACCCCGTAACTTCTGGCTACTTGGTTTTATTCTATTTAGGCTAAAAAAAATCTTATAATTTAGACTATGAGAAGATGGTTATGAAGATCAAGTGATATAATATATGTATGGAACATTATGAACTTTAAAGCAAATGCTTTCCATTCCTTTCTTTTCTTTTCTGTTTTTCCCCTCCCTTTCTTTTCCTATTGAATTCCTCACCATCTTTTCAGGCCAACTAAAATGCTATTTCCTCATAATTCACATGGATACAACACTCATAGCCACACTTCACCAATTTCTTTGTATAACAGATTTGCTAAGTTTAATTCCACACAAAAACTCTATGTAGTAAGTAGTACAACTATTATTATTTCCATCGTACAGGTGAGGAAACTGAGCCTCAAAGAAATCCAGTGACTTATCCATGGTCTCACAGTTAGTAAGTGTTGAAACTAGGGCTCAAATCTGTCTTCTGACTTGAAGTCTAGTGCTATTTCTGCTCTTTTTGTTTCCATGAAACATTGCCTTATCCTCCCTGTTGGTAATAACCTTTTCTCTCAGGCCTTATGTAGCCCTTTGTTTAGCCCCCTTCTAATGCGTTTATCATATATTATTATAAATTATAGTTCTCTGTGTATGCAACTTTTCCTTCTATTAGATTGTAAGCTCTGTGAAGTCAGTGACCATGTCTTGCTTAAATTCTGCATTTCTCCTCAGGCCTTTACACACTGGAGGTGCTTGATACATTTTTGCTGAATTTAAAGTATAGTCATTATTATTATTATTTCTCAGTAGCTTTCTGGTTTCAGAAGTCACACATCTGGTCCAGAGAAGGTTTCAGAGAAGGCTCATCTTTTTCTTATGCTTAGCTATTCATGCTGATAATTAGTAAAGATAGTATTTGTATCTATGTTTTTTCAACGGCTATCTGGAGGTTCTCATCAGAAGAAAGTTAAATTCATAGATTACCCCCATCTAAAGGATGACATCAAGCCTGAGAATCACTGAATCAGGCTTTCCTGGAAGACCTTTTATTTTTTTCATTGACATAGCTGCTTTTCTCTAAAGAAATTTCCTCTGGAGTTTCAGTTTCCTTTAATATGTCTTTCTGTGAATCCTTTCATTTTTCACTTCTCCTTTCCTTAGAGAAAATCTAGTCTGTCTCATTCCAGAAGAGTTCACTTAGATCAATGTGATGTTTCATTGGGTAAATGTCTTATGACTCACCTCAAAAGGCTGATATTGTAGTTCTGCAAAGAACACTTTCTATCACTTCTAGCTTTGAAAGTCTGGAAGATGCTCTTTTAGGCATGCCATAAATGTCACTGTGAACTTTGTTATGATGTTAGTTGTCGTTTCCTTCTTTGAATTCTAATAAGCTGCAGTAGCTCAGGATGGGAAAAACATGTTTAATGATGAGGATTTAATAGTTATCACCGATTATGTCGTTGTCTACTCTGATCTGTTTTGCCATGGACCATTGAAATATCTGGAGACAGTGTCATATAATAGAATCATCACATAGAGAATGTCCTTAGAGTCAGGAAGACCTGGGTTCGAGTCCTGCCTGGGGCATGTAACATTAAGTTATGGTCTTATTGTTGATTCCAGTGTTATTTATCTGTAATATTGAAGGAGGTTTAGACCCTAGGGAGTTTCCTACATAGGTAAAATCATAAGGCTGGAATCCTTTCTCTCTTCTTCCTTCTCTCCCCTTCCCTTCCATAGCTATTTAGAACAGGGGTCAGACAGACTTTCACTATTTTTGTGTGGCCAGTGAGGCAAGAATAATTTTTACATTTCTAAATACAATAAAACTTTAAAGTGTAAAAACCATTTTTAGATATCTGACAAAAACAGGCTATAGGCCAGGTAGTAGTTTGTGAATCCCTGATGTAGATGGAGAGATTTGGAAACAGAGGTAATTATTTTCTCAGTAGTCATTTTCCATTAAAGTCTTATTGTTGTTATGTAATGGAAAGTATTCTGAAAGCTTTGTGAACCGAGCCTCAGTTTTAATGGGTTTGTCCTTACAAACTGGAAAGATTTGAAGTACTGGTTGAGCAGTAGAGACTTTTGTGCCAATTGTCGAGGAACAGCCTAGCTAAATTCTGAAAGCATGATTGCCAGAAGGTAACAATTTGAAATTTCTTTTGGCTCAAGCAACTGATGAGGGCAGCAGCCTATTAAGGCCTGGAAGGGTTATGAGCTTTATTGGTGGTGAGAGCCCTCCCATGGACGAAGTGTCATGGGTTCTGGAATGCTGATAGAAGTTAATCCTATCAGCCCGAGTGCTGATCTTTGGCAAAGTGGAAAGAATCCCGTATGTGGAGCTAGAAGACTTCAGGTTCCAGTCTCAGTTATGCCATCTCGATTTTTTTTCTATTGTAGAATGTACACGTTACCTTTGCTGCTTACGTTACAGAATTTTTGTGAGGAACTATGTTAGTTAGAATCCTGACTCTTTCGTTAACTAGCTGTATGACCTTTAGCAAATCACTTACTTTCACTGACTCAGTATTCTCATTTGTAAATCAGAGACAATGATACTTGTATTGCTTGTGGCATTGGGGCATTGTAGAAAAAGCATTTTGTAAATCTTAAAACACTAAATAAATTTGACTTGTTATATTGAAGAGTACCATATTAAATGATAGACTAGCCATTTATTCCCATAATGTTTCCTGTGTTATATTAGGTGATATTTACTTTTCTTTATCCTCCTATTTAGCATATGTCTTTATCTAGATTAATAGGAGGGAAAAGTTCCTTTTTTAATTTCCCACTATGATGTTAGCATAGTAAATTATTATTTGGTTCATTTATTTATTTTTTTTCATAATGGTAATAATGGTTTAGTTGTAATTGGTCATTACTTTTTACATTTCCTGCTGTGAAGAAAAATAGCTTTAGATGTTAAGTGCTTTTCCTTCTTTCCAGTGTGTTGCATTGACTTTGGGGGTTTATGTTTTTAAAATCTGTAATGGATTTGTAAGTAAATGTGTGCAGACATAGATCTAGATATATATAAATGTGTATATAATTTGAATTTTCATTGTGGCTTTATCAACAGTTTTTACTGGGCCAAATTAAAATGAAAATATTTGATTTCTACAGTTAAATAAAAAATTCAGAAGCATTTAAATCTAAGTCATTTTGCAAAATCTTTGCTTAGTTCCCATAAATTTACAGTTCAATTTCTTTAAGAAAAATAAACATCTGAATTGTTCCTTAGTCTATCTGCTGTGATAATATCAAATAGTGTTTTACCAGAGAGTATTAGTCTTATCATCATTAAAGGTCTAATTAAAATGATTTTGTGTTTTTTTTAGATATTATTTTTCTTCAAGGAACTGATGTTATATTTAAGGTGGCACTCAGTCTACTAAACAGCCAAGAAGCACTTATAATGGAATGTGAAAATTTTGAAAACATAGTGGAATTTCTTAAAAACACAATACCAGATATGAATACATCTGAAATGGAGAAAATAATTGCCCAAGTAAGATGTAATTTAAAAAAAAACTGACATCAGGATTTTTTTTTAAAACTAGACCTATGATTTCGTTGATGTTGGGAACTCCCAATAAGGAAGCTAGCTAGCCCTACTATTAATGCATCAGTGTAGATCAGCAACTCTTTTATAACTTAGAGCCTTAAAGCAGTTGACTGGGCATTGGTAGATTAAGTGACTTCTTCAGGGTCATGAAGTCAGTATGTGTCAGAGATGGCACTTGAGGGTCTTCCTGACTTTAGAAAAATACAAGTTGGTAATTTGTATAAAGGTTTCTCTGCTAATGACCTGTAAGAGTGTGGAACCTAGATATTTAATTATTTAAACAGACTTCTTATAATAATTATATAATAAGTCTTAGCTTTGTTCTGAAGTCAGTGATCCTAGGGGGCATATACTCCTGTGTTCATCCATTCAAGGCACAAGAGAACTTGTAAGTTGAATTTTTGCTTTTCTTGAAACAGTATCTTGCTGACTCTTGGAAGAAGCCCTTCCTCCACCTGCCCAATGGCCAACACCCAAATTTCTTTCCCTCAGTTTCTCCTAATTGTCACTTTGGTCACAGGGATTTATCAAGTGTTGTAGAAAAGTCAGGTCCAGTCCCCAATCCATATTACAAAAAAATTATAGTGTTAGAGGTGGAAATCATTCTCCAAGTTATCCAGTGCTTTTTCTACTACATTGCGGACTCTAGGAAATGACTTTGGCTCTCATGGATTCAGAAGCCCCAAATGTAACAATAGTAAATGTCCTGGATGAAGGATGCATGGCCACATCCTAGAAGGAAAAATACAAATGGATCATACGTGGATGTACTAAGGGTGAATATATCATGATATAGATTTTATATACTCCCATTTGTATTAAAAGACCATGACAATTTAATTTGTGGGGCCTGCAGAATTTTGATGTGGTTAAAAAATAAAGATAATTTTTCTGTATATGTTTAATTTGCATAATGTTTACTTCATGAGACTGAACCATAGAGCCCAGTTAAGATGGTTAAGAGATCATGAGTGTGGTCCTTTTGAAAAGGACACCTTAAAGTTTACCCAATTAGGGATATAAGGATAGCTAGACAGAGGCAAGGTATAGGTCACCCTAGTTAAATATAGAGTCAAGAATTTATAAACCCACTTGGGTCAATAGCTACGTTATTGAGCTCTTCTACAGAGAAAAATCTTGATCTCCTGTGATTTGGTTCTGAGAACAAAGTGATAATGAGTTTTAACAGTGACAGTGCTAGGAAGAACTGTTTGCCTCTGGAAGGTGAGGAGCCATGAGGCCAGGTAGTCCCTGTCAACAAAGACCATGAGAAGAGGGCAACACTATGACCTTTCTGGCTATAAAAGAGCAGAGTCCTAGAGAAGAAGTGAACCATGGCCTGAGGTGCCTAACAGTTGGGAGGAAGACAATTCCTACTTTTCCATTATTTCCCTTGACATTTTAGATGTTTTATTCTTCCAAATGAATTTTGTTTTTCTTTTGTTTAACTTTATAATTTGCCCTTTTGGTAATTTGAGTGGTATAGCACTAAATTTAAATTATTTTAGGTAGTAATGCCATTTTTATTATGTTGGCATGGTTCAGCCATGATCAATTAATATTCCTCCAGTTATTTGCATTCTTTATTTCTTTAATTGTAACTGAAAAGAAATAGTTACACATTATATTTTAATTGCAATTTGTAATTGTGTTTCTAGAAGTCTTAACTATACTTTTGTAGATTGACTCCCAGATATTTTATGCATTTTGCCATTACATGATCTATAAGTCCTATGCATTGCGTAAAGTTCATAGCATGTAGCCATTGTTAATTCATGGTACTTTTATTACAGGTTTTTGAGATGGACATTTCTAAGCAGCTTCATGCATATGAGGTTGAATACCACGTGCTACAAGATGAACTGCAGGAGTCCTCCCCCCATTCCTGTGAGGAGAGTGAACCTCTGGAAAAGCTAGAGAAGGCTAATAACCAGCTGAAGAGACAGAACATGGACTTGTTGGAAAAATTACAGGTAAATAGATAAAGATTAATTTAACAGTCATTTATTTAGAGCCTACTTCAGGAGAGGGGAACCTGTGCCCTTCTAGGTCCTTGGGTATGGCCTTTTACTGAGTCCAAACTTTACAGAACAAAATTCTTTTATTAAGGGTATTTGGATTCAGTCATAGAGCTGAACTTGGGGACCTAGAGGGCCACGTGTGGCCCCGAGGCCACAGGTTCCCCACCGCTGGCCTACTATGTGCACAGGCCTCTGAGCACTTTGGAGAGATACAAATGAACTCACTTCAACAAATACTTATGAAGTGCCTACTATACATGTGCACAGGACTTAACTAAATTCTGTGGAGAATACAGAGAAGCTAATGTGGTATAAGTGATACCTTTTCTTGGGGAGCCTCATCTCTCCTTGGTGAAAAAGGTATATCCAGGCAGACCAGTTAAATAAGAATACAAGGCAGTATATGGGTAAGAGCTTGAATGAGGGATACTGACAGGAAGTGCTATAATAGTTCAGAAGTGGTAGAGGTCAATGTTGACCAGAATATTTGGAGAGGAAATAGGCTTTGAGCACGACTTAGAACAATGAGTAAGATATGGCTAGAGGGAAAGAATGTGGGACAGGTATATATAATAAGTTTTTTAAAGTCATGATTAGTCGTTGCATGGATCAGAGTTCTGAAGTCTTTCAATATTGTTTTCTTGTGGATTATTCCTGTAGATAATCTCTCTCTGTCTACTGGCTGCTTCCCTATTGCTTACAAACACTCCTGTCTACCCAACTTCAAAAAACCTTCACTTGATCCGTCCCTCTCTCCTAGCTATTGTCCTATATTTCTTCTCCCTTTTCTGTCTAAACTCTTTGAAAAGGCTCTCTACAATTGATGCCTTTGTTTCCTTTCCTCTTACTCCCTACTTAAGTCTCTTCAGTCTGGTTCATGACCTCATCATTTAACTAAAACTGGTCTCTTCAAAGTTACCAATGATATGTTAATCACCGAATCTAATGGTTTTTTCTCAATCCTGATCCTTCTTGACCTCTCTGTAGCTGTTGGTACTGTGGATCATCCTCTCTCCTTGATAATCTCTTTTCTTTAGGTTTTTGAGACGGTATTCTCTACTGGTTCTCCTCCTACCTGCCTTCTCAATCTCCTTTGCTTGATCTTTATCCAGGTCATGTCTGTTAACTGTGAATGCCCTCCAGAGCTCTGTTCTGAGCTATTTTCTCTTCTCCAGATATACTGTTTCACTTGGTGATCTTATCAGCTTCCGTAGATTCCTGTTATCATCCCTATGTAGTTGATTCTCAAATTTGTCTAGCTCTAACTACTTTGCTGACCTATGCACCCTCCAGCTGCCTATTAGACACCTCAAACTAGATGTTCTATAGAAATCTTCAACTCAACATGTCTAAAACTAAACTCACTTTTCCCCTCAAAAATCTCTTTTTTCTTAACTTCCCTTTAACTGTCCAGGTACCACCATTTTCACAGTCACCTTGCCTTGCCAACTAGATTTCATTCTCACCTCCTCACTAACTCCTCATATTCAATCAGTTGTCAAGTCCATCATTTCTACCTTTTCGGCATCTCTTGTTTATATCCCCTTCTTTGCTCTGACACTGTGTGACCCTGGTGCATATCCTCATCATCTTACACCTAGATTATTTCATGAGTAGTTTGCTGATTAATCTCTCTGCCTCTTGTCTCTCCCCACAATGGTTCCTCTTTTACTCAGTTGTCAAATTGATCTTCCTAAAGCACAAGTCTGATCATATCATCCCCTGTGCAGTAAATTCCAGTGGTTTCCTATTTCCTCTAAGATCAAATATAAAATCGTTTGTCTTTTAAAGCCCCCTGTAACCTGGCCCCTTTGTACCTTTCCAGGCTTCTTTATTTTGCATGACTCCACCCTCCCATGTACTTTGCAATCCAAGGACACTTGTCTACTTGCTGTTTCTTGAACAAGATAGTCCCATCTCCCAACTCTGGGCATTTTCTGACTGTCTCTCATGCTTAGAATCCTCTCTCTCTGTTTCTGCCTCCTGGCTTCCTCAAATCCCAATTAAAGTCTCACCTTCTGCAAGAAGGCTTTCCCAATCCTTGCCCTTAGTGTTAGTGCCTTTCCTCTGTTAATCATCTCTAATTTATCCTCTATATTGTGTTTGCACTTAATTTTTTGAATCTTGTTTCCTCCATTAGACAGTAAGCTTCTTGAGAGCAGAGACTATATTTTGCCTTTCTTTGTATGTATGGTGCCTGGCACATTGTATGCACTTGATAAATGCTAACTGGGAGTGAGGAGTTGAGGATGACACCTAGGTTGCAAGTTTGGTTGACTGAAAGAATGATGGTACCTTCAACAACAATAAACAAGTTTAGAAGAAGGTATGGTTTATTAAGAGAAAGATCACGAGATCGGTTTTGGACATGTTGAGTTTAAGGTGTCTATGGAACATCCTGTTTTTAGATGTCTAATAGGCAATTGGAGGGTGAATCTGGACATTAGAAGAGAGATTTGGGTTGGATAATTAGATCTGAGAATAAACATTATAGAGATGATAAACGAATCCATGGTAGCAGATATGATCACTAAGTGAAATAGTATGGTGGGAGAAGGGTTCTGGACAGAGTTCTGGGGGACATCCACTGTTGATAGGCATGACCTAGATGAAGCTCTAAGAAGGGAGACTGAGAAGGAGTAGTCAGGCGAGTAAGAAGGGAACTGAGAGAGCAGCGTCATGGAAACCTACAGACAAGAGATATTTTTCCCCATCTCTGACAGAGTTGGCCATTGTGCTTGCCAAGGCTAAACCCCTCTGTATATGCACTTGGATCTTATTACCTCCTATCTTTTCCAGCATATTGCATTCTCATTCGTCATCATCTACTAGTATTATTTGTAACACAGTTAGACTAGAGTCCTTTCCAATAAAATCAGGAGTCAAACAAAGATATCCATTGTCACCATTGCTTTTTGTCATAGAACTAAAAATGCTTGCTAAAAGAATAGGTAAGAAAAAGAAATTAAGGGACTAAGCATAGATAAAGAAGAAACAAAATTACCACTTTTGTAGATGTTAGATGGCATGCTGAAATAACCCTTAAAAGTCAACTAAAAGTAATTGGAACAATAACTTTAGCAAATTTATAAATATAAAATAAATCCACAAAAATTAACAACACACATATCTATGTCTATGTCTTTATTTAGCTATCTGTAAAATCAGTAAAACTCAGAAAGAAGAGATAAAAAGAAATTCCATTTAAAAACTCTATAGAGTATATTAAATACTTGGGAATCTACCTTTCAAGATATACATAAGAATGATATAACTATAATTACAAACAACTATTTATAGAAATAAACCTAAATAATTGGGAAAATATTAATTTTTCATGTCTAGGACTAGCCAATATAATAAAAATGAAAGGTAATAAAAATTACCTAAATTAATTTACTTATTCAATGCCATACCAATCAAATTACTGAAGAATTTTGTCGTTGTTGTTTAGATTTTTTCAGTCATATCCAACTCTTTGTGACCCCATTTGGAGTTTTCTTGGCAAAGATACTGGAGTGGCTTGCCATTTCCTTCTCCAGTTCCTTATATAGAAATGAGGAAACTGAGGCAAACAGGGTTAAGTGACTTGCCAAGAGTCACATAGCTAGTAAGTGCCTTGAGGCCAAATTGAACTGAGGACTGTAAGTCTTCTATATTCCAGGCCAGGTGTTATATCTACTGTGCCACCTAGCTGCCCTAATAATTACTTTATAGAATTAGAAAAAAAAATAACCAAAGTCACATGGAGGGGGGAAAAATAATAAATATCAAGAAAAATAATGGAAAGAATGGGAATGAAGGGGACTTCACTGTTCTGAATCTCAAACTATATTATAAAGTAGCTATTATTAATAAATACAATTCGGTCTTGATTAAGAAACAGAGAGATTGATCAAAGTTGATTTGAACATGATTCCAGAAATATAGGTAGAGTATAGGGGGTAGGTGCTAGAAAAGGTACATCTACACAGTGGCGAAGTAAATGAATGAATGAAAAAAGCATTTATGATACAGTAAGCACTGGGTTTACAAATAGAAAAATCAAGACAGTCTCTGCCCTCAAGGAGCTTTCTCATGGGGTGGACAACACAGAGAGGAAGTGTCAACTGCAGGTCAAATGAGAAAATATCATGATCCGTAGATGCAGTAGCAGAATGATGACGAAGTATTTTCTTTGGTGTTGTTTCCATTGATCCTATCATATCATATCCTTTTCTGAAGTTTAAACATTTGGCATTGCCAAAGACTTTGGTGTCAAGAACTTTATTTGTGTGTGTGTGTGTGTGTGTGTGTGTTTGTCTTCAGGAGCTGTGGGTGCTATAGGGGCTGCAGTACTTCTGCAGAAGTAGTTTCAGGTTGAAATCCATGGAGATTGCTTCCCCCTCTGTTGGCATGAGGTGTTGGACTGGCTGGAAGCAGGACCACCACTCAGGGGATTTTGTTGCTCCCAGGGCTCTTGGCTCACCTGTCAGTTGGTGACAGTTAACAGTTGATATATGAATGGTGAAGAAAGTGACCTCTTTTCCATAGTGACTGTTCCCCTCAGCAATGGCTGGTGGTCCGGGGCTGGAAACAAAACTAGTGGTGTGAGGGATACTGCTATTCCCAAGGCACTTTGGTCAGGGCCCTGGGATAATCATATCAGCATCTGAGGGAAGGTGGTGGTGATTGTGTTCTGACTCGCCTGGCACAGGCTGCTTCCTGTCTCTGTGTCAGGTTGCCTTGCTGCTTCATTTAGGCTTGCCTGTCCTGTAGGTGGCATTTGGTTTCCTGAGTGTGGAGAAGATGGCCAAGAAATAGAGAACGAAGTGTAAATGGGGCCTTCCTGAAATGGTTGGCCTTTGGGGAGTCACCAGTGAGGACAACAAGGTCCCTAGGGCAGTAGTTTGGAGACGAAAGGGTTAAAGCCTCTAGGTTATGGTCTGTGGTTTGGGCATAAAGGTGGTTGATGAGGCAGTGGAGAAGATGGCTAGGAGTAAAGCAGTTGTGGCAAAATAACCTCCATTTTCTCAGTAAAAAAGAGCTAGAGATGATGGTCTTTTCTGTGAGGTTAGAGGAAGAAAGTCATGTGGGAGGCTTGAGAGAAGAGAAAGCAGTGAATAGTTTCTGTGAAGAGTATAATAGAAAATAAATCAGGAAAGAGTAAAAGGATTACCTTGAAATTGTGAGGACTCATTTGTAATTAGGATAAATTTACAGTGGACTCCCATCAACATAGTTCAAATAGAAAAAAAGGAAGGCAGTCTTAAAATTAGGCCTGTGTACATACTTGACTATTTATAGATGAAAACAGGTATTAACCACAACAGTCTAAATTGTACTCATTTATATACAAAAAATGCCACAAGTTTCATTCATCACCAAAAACCTTCTGTGATAAGACAGAAGTGATTACCAGACAAGCATCAGTAAAGTATGCTACCTTTTCTCGAATTGTTATTGTACAATGTTATAATGTCATGCAGTATCTTCAAGAACATACTAGTCCTGCATCCAAGTACAAATAAAATGATAAAAGTGGCCCCCTGAGAGTGGATCTGGGCATGATTTATTTCATGTTGGGTAGGCTTTTCCACACAAGGGTGCAATTACATCAAAAATGAAATTTAAAAGAAGCTTTAAACATCCTTTCTGGAATCCCAAAACACATTCAACAGAAGGTATGCATGACAAATCAAAGTGTTCAAATACCTTTTGCAAAATAAAAATCATCAGATATCTTGTAGGGTTGGGAATCACTAGGTGACTGAGCCAGATAGTGAGTTTCCTGAGGAATGAGGAGGAATGAGTTGACATCTTACAGTAGATGACTTTGACAAGGCTCTGGTCCAGGTAATAAAGATGAATGGAGAAAACCTCAAGAAAAGGGAAGTTGCTTGATGACAAGGGCAGAGGTTTTGATCAATAATGAGGAAGGAATATGTCTGCTCTTTCTCTGGCTTTCAGAGCATGTGGGAGAAGGAGCAACCTGTACTGGAGAGGGTAGTCATGTTTGCAATGTTTTCTGGAGAAAATCAGGTTTTAGTGAATGTAAAATCTTTAAGAGGAAGAGGGAGGAGGTACAAAAATTTATTAACTGTAGGATAAAGAAAGGGAAAGGTAGAAGAGGACAGGGACTGAAGAAGAGTATGGCTAAAGTGGATGGATATGAGAGAGCAGAAAAAAGAAGTTTTCTCAAGGGATTAGGGGAGGAAAAGGTTGGAATTGCTAGCCACAGGATGGGGGAAGTACAAGTTTAGACCTGTCCACATCCTTCTGGGTTCTCTGATATATAACATCACTCAATTTTCTTCCAGACACTATGAAAGAAGGAATTGAGCCTGCAGAGCAATTGAGTTGGACATTTGGGTTGGTCAATATCTGGTGATTGGATCCACAGCATTAGACTGAACCTCACCTTTAGAGCCAACTTGGACCTTTTATACCAAATGATAGGAAAGGAGGTACACCTAGAAGAGAACTTAGACGTGGAACATGTACCTGGCTCCTTATCTCTGTTGGTTCTGATGCACCAGTGGTCCAGGGCTTCTAGTGCTTCTGGCTCCTAGAGGCTTAGACCTTTCATTGTTTCTGAGGTGTTAAGTCCTCTAGGGCCTCTTGAGCTCTTCAGTGTTCAGGACTTCGGTTCTAAAGCCTGTGATATATAATATTTCATAGAGGCATCACACGTAATAAGGAATATAAGATTTGGTTCCTTGGTGAAATTACCTTACTGAATGAATGGGTTGGACTAGATGATTTCTGAGTCTTGGAAAAATTTCCAAATCTAACATTCTATGATGCCAAAGTGTCAGTATCATTTAGAATATAAATTTAAAATATATGTGAGTGTGTGTGTGTGTATATATATATATATATATATATATATATGTATATATATGTATATATATATGTATATATATATATGTATTAGGTTTACATAATATGTGTATGTATTTATTTAAAATTTTTTAAACAGGTGGCTCATGCTAAAATCCAGAGTTTAGAATCCAACCTTGAAAATCTTTTGACGCGAGAGACCAAAATGAAGTCCTTAATCCGGTCCCTGGAACAGGAGAAATTGACCTACCAAAAGACCGTGGAACAAATCAGGAAGCACTTGCCAGCAGATGCCCTGGCTGACTGTGAACTGCTGTTGAGGGAAGCAAATTGTAACCCAAATAATAAAGCAAGAATAGGAAATAAGCCATAATTGAAGAAGTGCCACCTTAGTGGGCAGTGCAGTTTAACATGCTGAAGGAAAGGAGTCATATGTATGCTGCTGGACAGTCTCGGGAGACTCAATGGAGTGGAATCACCTACAACTAGTTTGGAAGCTCCAGTAGTATGAAATGGGCCTTTAATCCCAAAATGCAAATCCCAAACTATTAAAAGCATCTATGCTGGGTTTTTTGTTGCTGTTATTGATTGTATACATAGACATAAAGGGAAATTTAAAAAAATTCATGCTTTCAGATAAGACAAGTAGATGTATATTTAGAGCAAACGAAAAAAAAAAGTAAACTTCACCAGCGGGAAGAAAAAGCAAGACTTCCTGTACACATGTGAAATCTTTTTTGTCTTTGTAGTGAAGTAAAGAGGTTGTATCTTTATATATTGAATAATACTTGAAGAAATGAATGTATTTTTTCTCCAAAGAACAGCATGTTTCACTTTTTTTGTTGAAAATTTGTGGTAAATGCATATGTGCCTGTCATAAATTCTACTGAATTGTTTATGGGAGGATTATGACTGTGACTGATAGCCACTTTCATGTGACTTTTCAGGGAATGTGGTACATATCCATCCCTTCTGTTATGTGCCGTCTTTAGCATGTTGCTTCCACATGCATGTTCACAAGGAGTAGGCATCGTTTTTTAGCAACATGGCTAAATAGAATACAAAGATGTTTTGCCTGGAATGCCCAAGGTAAGGGGAGGAGTTTGTAATTATGTGGTTAACTGGACCAATGTTGACAGCCAAACTGGGTCAGTCAGGCCCCAAAATAGCATCCACTTTGGAACCTTAACTGTCTAGCCTGTCTACATTTGTTACTCAAAGTAACCTGGTAATTGTGAACTTCTCCTTTACTTGGTGCTATGTAAACACAGCCAATGACAAGGATTTACTTTCTCCCTCTCCAAACACATTTCAGAATTCCAGTTTTTGTTCTAATTGCTTTGAAGAAAGTCTGACAAGAAGGAAACTCAGATTTTCTCTGCCAGCAATACTTGGCCTTCTACAAGTGCCATGTTGTAATAATGTGGTATTTCTCTTCACAGTTGACAAAATTAAATAGATTATGATATTCTTCCTTTTTTCCATGTAATGTTTAGCAAAACTGTGAACTGAATTAGAACAAACTTCTTTTTAAAATCTCTTAGTGGGCAATGGAAAATGTAGCCTCATGCCCATCCCAGGACTGAATTCTAAATTCTTAAATTCTGACTCCCAACATTTTATCCATGCTCATATAAACTACTTAGATCTTCAGTCATACAGTATGTATGGGAGGGAGTTAGTCTTCAATTACAAAGCCCACCCCTCCCCACACATACATTTTTCCATATAAAGAATGAATTCTTAAATAGTATCTACAAAAGGAGACTCAGTAAAGTAAATGATGAAGCAATTTTTTGCTTTTCAGTATTCCTGTTTTATAAAATACTTTTATATAATTACTGACTCATTGCCTCTCTTCAGTAAGTTTCCCTTGCAATGGACAGAGTACTAAGAGAGAAAAGTGCTGAAACCCAACCACCTCTGAACCTTGTTTGTGTATTATTGTCATGAATCTGATTACAGTAGTACTTGTGCTGTAATACTGATATTGTTTGTTTTTGTGTTTCTGAAGAAAAAGTCTTATTCATAAGGTTATCTAAGTTAAAGTTCTCTTTCATTAGATGGAAAGCCTAGGTACCTTATGAAACCTGGGTAACCAACTGATTGGTTCCCATAGAATATTTTTATTGGATCAGAATTCTTTCTCTGGTAGTAGAGAGGTTTTCTTCCTATCTTGAATTTAATAAATGCATTGATAGACTACATAGATTTCTGTTATGCCCTGGTACCAGGATTTATCTAATGTGTAGACATGAAGCATCATATTTTGACTTGGCTGAATTATAACTAGTTAAGCTAAGGAGAAGGCTACTGTTTGGTTTTGTTTAAAATGAATTTTAGTTAACATGTCTATAAAAGAGACAGCCCTTGGGAACCTGCAGTCAGCAGAGTGATCAGAGATTAAAGTGACTCAGATAGTCTATGAAAATGAACATTTTTTTTCTCTTTGTGATTTTTATGTTGCACCAGTTGTGCTTTGCCCTTTGTTTTATCTCTGTCAAGTTAAATGTAGTGTCTGATTAATTTCCAATAAATGCCTTGCTGCAGTTTCTTTCCATGGCCTGTTGGATCTGTTTTTCATCTTGGGGTGGGAAAGTTCATGGTTAAAACCTTTCAAAAGGTCTCCAAAGAAAGGAATTTGTTACTTAAAATCAACCTAGTTAATTCTTGGTTATCTATCATACTTCAGGCTGAAGTATAGCTGTTAAAAAAGCAAAACAAAAAAGAAAGTTGTAAAAGGGAACCATTTGACCTGGTTTAGGCTTAACTTTTTCAGTTTTCCTAAACCTCTATACTGAGATACTAAGGAGAATGAATTGATCAAACTTGCAGAGCAGCAGAAAAGGCGGGGGGGAGAGGGGGACAGATGATTCTCAAATTAAATCTGCTTCTGTGTAATCAAGGCTTGAATGTCAAACCTGCTGTTAGCAATAATATGTGATGTGTTTTTGTAACATGTCTCTTGCAGAAAATTGTCAAACATATCCCTCATTTTAATAAAAATGTGCTATTCATTTTCTCTTAATTTCTGGGACTAAAAGCTTTAACTGTGTAATACCATATCCAGTAATGAAGCATTTGGAGTGGGAATAAACCCATGATTTGAGTCTGAATAACAGCCAGGAGTGTGCTGAACTGGGAAGAACACTGATCTTTGGAGATGTACGACCTGGTGCAGCCCCTTGCTCCTACCTGTACTTGTTCCAACCTGTTTTGTAACTGGCAGCCTCTCTTTCTTTTTTCTCTTAGGACCCTGTCTGTATTGTAGGCTTGCTAGTAGCTTCCATGAATATTACCTAACTGTACCATGGGGAGGTGACTACTGATCCCTGCTTTAGAGACAGCCCCAAGAAGAGGGAAACGGCATTTTTCTTAGAGGCTGAACATTTCATTTGATACGTGTATGTGTGTGGGCGCGCATATATAGATATATACGTGTGTGTGTGTGTGTGTGTGTGTGTATGTATATATATGTATGCATATATATATATACACATACGTCCACATATATATATATATATATATATATATATATATATCTCCTCATGTATTAAATCATGTGCAAAAACTAAGGTGAGAGCCTTTAACAGATTTGAAACATACTTTTCATTTTCCCTATGAAGACTGCTAGTTCTGAAAATTTGCTTTTTTTTGTGGAAGCATAATAAAATTAGGATAAAATTTTCTTCTTCTAAAAGCTGGTACTTGTACTATTGGGCACCTGGGATATGTTGAAAAACAAGACACTGGATTTGGAATAAAATGATCTAGGTTCAAGTACTAGCTGTGATATATACAAGCTGTGTGATCTCAGGAAAGTCTTAATAGTTCTTTGAGGTTCATTTCTCTGATCTGTAAAATAAGAATGATACCCTCATCTTAACTGCTCCTGCAGAGTTGTGAAGATCAAATGAGATAACTTATATAAAGCATTTTGCAGACTGAGAATCGATAAACACATGTCAGCTATTCTCATATCTCTGTGTGGTAGGTAAACCAGATTGGGCCACAACCAGTTTATTTGGTGGCTGATAACCATATTTCAAAACCAAACAAATCACATCATTATCTGGAGAAGGTGAGTACAGAAATGAATGGAGAAGACAGGTTCTGGGTCATCCTAGTTTTTGGAATGTAGCCTTATAAGAAAAAGATCTGAAATTAATGCTTAAAATGCCTTTTTTTTTCTTTCCTTTTTTTTTTAGGCAATTGAGATTAAGTGACTTGCCCAGGGTCACACAGCTAGTAAGTGTCAAGTGTTTGGTCTGAGGCCAGATTTTGAACTCAGGTCCTCCTGACTTCAGGGCCTGTGCTCTATCCACTGTACCACCTAGCTGCCCCTTAAATTTCTTAAAAACACAGGAGGAACCTAGCATAATAGAGAGGGCCAGGAGTCAGACCTCTGACACATTTTGGCTCTGTGACCAGTGGTAAGACGCTTCACCTTTTAGTGCTCTAAGCATCTCTACAAGTTGCAGAAAGGGTGTTAACCTGTATTGGTGGTGGGAATGTCCTCGTCCAGAGAGTACCCCATACTGGCGAAGTCACAGGTCCAGGGCCTGTCCTAAAAAAAAAGCATGCTATTTTTAGCAAACACGCAAAAGTTATATTTCTGATCATGTTGCTCAAACATTGATTGTTTTTATGTAGAGTTTTTATTTTATGTACTCTGATGTTGCTTTTCTTCTCAATTTAACAAGAATTGTGAATTCATAAATATTATTGATGATGTTATTCAGAAATGATCATTTCAATTAAACATACAACTTCCATTCATGGAGAAATCTCAGGTTTATGCAAAATGAAATGGGGTAATTTATATTTTGTACACTTAGGTTTATTAAATTTCCTCAGCATACTGTTGTACTGTTTCTTCTAGCATGTCTCTGTTCTTCATGCTACCTGATTACTGCTGCTACTAAGGAGCTTAGAATATTCATGAGGTTCCATTAACTCTATTTATAATAAGCACCAACTTTTAATGTAATATCACAGAGCAGTAAATGATGTCCTAATGGCCTGAAAGAATTATTATTCACATTCTTCTTCCATTCACTAAATGCCTTACTTATTTTTAGGAAATTATTTAAGGAGAAGTGATCTCACTTCAAATAACTTGCATATGGTTCTTTTAAAAAAGGCAGTGTAAGTGTACACATTTTGAAAATGTATTGATATAGAAACATAGCATATCAGCTCCTTGAAGGCAGAGGCTATTTCATTTTTTTGTCTTTGTATTCTTAGCATGATGCCTGGTACATTGTAGGCTTAATAAATGCTAGTTTAATTGAAGGGCATTGGACTGGGAATCAGTAAACTGATTCTGGTCTCGAACCCACCACTAACTAGCTGTGTGACTGGACAGATCACTTGTTCTCTCTGGCCTTTACTTTCCTCATCCTATAAAATAATGGACCTAAGACAAGTGATCTCTCAGGTCCCTTCCAGCTCTTAGGACCATATCTATTTTGCACATCCCTTAAATCAAGAAATTGTTAAGGCAGAAACAAATGTGAAAGAGTTGTTTGGGTGTGGGTGTGGCTGAAGAGACCCTGCAAGAAGATCTCCCTGCACAGTTATGAAGGACTAGAGGATAGTTTGATAAATGTTCATGATGGAAAGAAGTTTCAATAATATCATTTTGAGTGGAATGAAAATTAAATGATTAAAATGTAAATTTTAACCTCTTTGTGCCTCAGTTTCCTTACCTATAAAAGTAAGTTAGACTAGGTAATTTCTAAGGTCCCTTCTAGCTCCAAGCCTGTGGTATTCTTGTCCTATTTCAGGGAGGAGAGGCAGAGGAAGGCCTCTAGCACTTTAGGCAGGCCATCCACGGAAGACTTTGGGGAGGCTGTGGACCAGAATCCCACAGAATAGGGTGATCAGGATGGATTGTAAGCTGGACCGATGGAAGGAATACTCACGTTGATGAGGTGATGGATCCATTACCAGGATCTGAATAAGGGGGAAGAAGAACCGAAGCCCTTCAAATGAGCAGATTTGTTAGTAGAATTAAAAACATACTTTATGCCATCACCATTCATTTTGTCAATATCCTTGCTCATATCTTCATTGGTTCTCATGTGAATTATTGCCGTAGACTCCCAGCTGTTCTTGCTACCAGTCATTCTGTATTCCAATTCATGCTTCACCTATCTTCAAAAATATTCTTTCTAATGCATAATAAATAGCAACTCATATTTTTTAAGTGTTTTGAGTTTTGGAAAGTGCTTTATTTGTAGCATCTCCCTTTTATAATTGAGGCCCTGACTTGATTATAGTCACAGTAAAAAAGCGTTTGAGGTAGGATTTGATTCAAAAGTCCTAACAATATTGCTCCCTTGTTCAAAAATCTTCAATGGCTTTCTATTGCCAATGAAAAATTTCTTAGCTTGGAATTTAAGGCCTGGCACAATCTAGCTGCAGTCTTTATTTCTGGCCTTATTTCAATCTATTCACATTCATAAACTCAACATCTGTAAAACAATGGGGTCAGACTAGATAGTCTCCGAGTTCTTTTCTAGCTTTTAAATCTGCGATACATCCTAGCCAATCTGGACTCCACTCCTTTGCCTCTGTCCTTGCATATTCTCACAGCCCATGCCGTGAATTTACTCTGAAATCCCCTATTTCCTTCAAGGCCTACCTTGGATACTACCTTTTCTATTAAACCTTCCCTTATTTCCCGGCTGAAAGTGATCTGTCCCTATATAAATTTTCATATAAGCACTTTGCTTTGATTTCCTTTTATGTCTATCACAGCTCTTTGAGGGTAGGGACTGTGTTGATTTTCATCTTAGATACCCACCACCTAGCACAGTGCCTTTATCAAAGTAGGTGCTTTGTAGATGTTTAAATTAAATTGAATCACTGACAATACTAAGTTTGACATATGACATTTTCTTTGACATTATAGTAAAATTATTGGTTTATAGATTATAGGATCCTGTAATCAGTAACTAGAAGGGATCTTAATGATCATATGGTCTAACCCCTTCATTTTATAGATGAAGCGGAGTCTCAGAAGGGAACTGACTTGACTGTCTGTGATTGCATTTGGTAATAAACAGAAGAGCCAGTATTCAAACTCAGATCTAGGATTCTTTACGTTACAGCACACTGCTCCAGTAAAAGATGTGATAGCTGTGATTTGTAAGTTACAATACAGGCCTATTTGCCTTGTGATAGTCAAAACATCGTGAGCAAGTAATTTGATTTAGGAGTCACTACGTTGTGTTAACCAGTTCAAGCTTGTTTGTGTACAAGCCTTTCACCTGGAATAACTGGTTTCTCGTCCTGTCTTTTGGTACTAATCAACCAAAGGAATGGTAGATGGCTGTAGTGAGATCTCATTCTGATATATTTGTAGCACAGATAGATGTCTGGGAACTCCAGGTTCCCTCTGTGCTTAGCCCAAGGGCTATCTCTAATGATCCTTGCCCTGATTCTCCCAATTTTTAATGTTTGAGCCTCAAAAAAGAATAACTTTGTCTTTATTTTGTATTTTCTTACCTGTGTGAATGTTGTGTTCCCCCAATGTTAGAAATAGACTTGACACC